ATCCAACAATTTAGTTTGACTATTTTTGACGTCAGCATGCCCTTCGTGTCCCGTTTCTACGCCCTTATCCACATTTTCATACAAATATCCTGATTTGATTAAAGTGACTGTTTTAATTACAGCCTGAATTAATTTTAGTTAATCAAATTGTTTACAGGGAGGGAAAAACATCTGGCACATACAGTCATTTATTTTCTGTTTCCCAGATTGGTTAATTTGTTGCAACAAATAGAGGAGCACATTAGTCTTTATGGGGTGTGAAAGCTATCAGTGCTGTGTGGCTTACAGAGGATCGGGAAGCAGAAAAAAAAACATATTCCACAGGATGAAACGTGTAAAAGAGCTTAAACTAAAAACAGAAGCGGTTTGAGTATTTGAGCAAAACCTATCTGAGTCTGTTCTCCTCTCTTGTCTGAAGGTACACTTAGATTTTCATGTCTGCCACCAAGAGGGAAGAAGGGCAACAGCCACTCCTAAAAATATTGGCGGTCCAAACTGGCCCCGCTTGGCTGAACAGTTTTATTCTTGAGCCCCAAGCTTTTGCTTGGTGTATATTTTTATTTTCCTCAAGCTATTTAGGACTGGCAAAACCTCACAAACACAAAAACAAACATTGTTTCTGAGCAGTTAGAAGTTACGTTAGTTTAGTCATTATAGTTCAAATTAAAAATAAAATCTACTTCCAAAGGAGAACTGGTCTAAAATGAATGTCCTCAACATTTTTTTTACTTAATTATATAAAATAAATTTAGTAGAGAACAAGCTTCAATAAGTTGAGACAGTGTTGTTCTCAATAAGTAAAATAATAATAATAACAACAATAAAATAGGTATATCAGAAGGGGATTCCCTTCATGTTCACAAAAGTAGACAAGCAAATAAAAAGAAACAGTTTAAGATGGTTTAAGCCGCCTTTGAAATTTTTATTTTTTAATCAAACTTACTCTTTAAATTAATTTGACCTTTTTAAGGACAACAAATAAAACTAGACACGGGTTTTTATGATGTAAAAACAAGTGTGCATTGCCTTGTAGCATGCCATTGCCTGCAGCTTGAACTGTGACCAAGTTGAAATGTGCTTGCTAATCAAGTACCAGCTTGTGCCTGCCAAGTCAGCAGTTGTTTGCATTGAGGGTAATTGTGTGAGAATATGACAATTAGAAAATATGTAGTTGTAATGAAACATTATGGTTACGGCTGGGATTAAACCCTGATCTCCCACATGAAAGCCCATAGCGTTCACCATGAGACTATGAGCTGTTGCAGTATGTTCTCCCAGTGTTAAGTTTGTATGTGTGCTGAAAGAGGCCAAATTGCCAATGCAATTGTTGACACTAAACTGCAATATATTACAACAATAAAGGAATATTAGGACAATATTATAGTGAAATATCAAAATACAATCATGTTTGTATTGTAAACACTGAACTACTGAGTTTAAATATTATTAAACTATGGTGCAGTACTGAGTAAATACAGCATGGGGCAGTATTGGACCAATGTAAGGCTCCATTGGCTGTCATTATTTGATTTTTAACATTAATATTTCAAAAACTATAAGTTGTACAGGCACCAAAGGGCATAGCAATCATTTGGCACAGGAGCTTTACAGATATAAATTACAATGGCATCTCTAGGACAAAGTATGTAGGAGGAGAAGCGTGCCAAAGTGGAGATGACTTGGATGGGAAACGAATCACAATAGTGTGCATTGCATTGGCAATGCATGCTGAAAATACTGTAATGATGATTCATGGCTTTATATACTTAGCACAAAGTTAAGGAAATTTGTGTTTGGTAGATTATGATTAATTATTCTTTTGTAACAATGCTTCAGTAACATTATACTGTTGGAAAGCCTGTTAATTTTCCTTTTAAATGGTGCAACATTTGTAAGGAACATGCATTTGTGAGATGAGTATGTGGGCTGCGCACATGAAAAAATTGTCAAATCTTCTCTGCCGAACAACTTATTCTGCTGTTGCTGCTGACACTTGTTTTTAGCTGTCTCCACCAGCACCACTAGTTATTTGTGAGCAGTCAGGGAGTTAAGTGGTTCCTCAAATCAGAGAGCCACTATCAGTGGGACGCATGCAAAGCAGTGTCAAAGCGTTATATCCTTACATGTAACATTTTATAAGTGTCCATTAATTTTTTTTCTTTCAGTCAATTTGAAACTGCAGTCCAGTGTCGTTTCAAACAATTTAATTTGTAATTTATTTCTATTTGCTCCTTCAGGGCAGGGTTAATTTCACTTTTCTACTCTTGCAGGGGCAACAAGAACCGTCTCCTTTTCAGATCTAGCTCTAAATATTGCCTCCAGTCAAAACTTCTGAAACACGACTGAATCTTTAGCCTCCTTGTTCTGTGTTTATTGTCTAATGTGATTATCATGGCTCACACCTACTCCTGAATAATGGGCAACTTACATTCTTTATTCTCTTGAGGCCTGCTGTGCATGAAGAAGCACATAAGCTTTTTAGGTATTAAACCCAGATGACACAACTGGATGGTTTGGTTTTTAGTTCTTTAAACATACAATAGTGCAGTATGTGAATTATAAGACACAAACTGTGATGCTCGTCAACTATTGACATTTGTAAGATTAATGATCTTGGGAAATTGTCTGAGGGAAGCCAAATAAATTAACAAGCTCTTAAAGGAATAGTCTGACGTTTGTGGAAAAACATCAATAAAACAATGGAAACACTTATTTTTCTGCAATAAAAGCAAATATTCCCTCTTCTTCCATGTTTGTGTGATACAGCTGGTAAGTTGTTCCTCCATCAGCATAGTGTTGATATTCTCATGTAGCTCTCAACAGAGAAGACAGTAATATTTGCCAAAATGTCAAACAGACTGTTGATGTGCTTATCAGGTATGCCTAAACTCAAGGGTAATATCCTACTGGAAAGGTCAGGAAGAATGGGACCAAATCCTTGAGGGGATCTTATTCAGAATCTGTAACACCTGATAAAATTTACACACGAATGTCACGGTTTTCATTTTGTCTTTGCTTTGGTTCAGCGTTTTTGTTTTGTTTTGTTTTTACTTCTTATTCAGGTGTTTTTGAAATTTGTTTCCTGAACTTAATTTTTCTGTATTATTGTTTCCTGCTGTATTTTGGGTGTTGTTTATTCAGATTTTCATTCTGAATCATATATTGGATGGATAAAATCCCACAGGGATCATTCCTTGGACTCCTCCCGTTCAAAATGTTCTAACTTATGAATTGTTTCTATGCAGATTACTCTCAGATTTTAAATTTAATGATCATAAAACACATGATTCCCCCCCTAAAGACAGTAAACTATTGAACATGACTTATTCTAATGTTTGGTCCCAAGAAAGATGCTGGAGTGCTCATTCTTTTAGGATGGTGAGCTAAAAACATCATATATATATATATATATATATAAGTTCTTTTATTGTAAAATCACAATTTACATGCCTGTTTATCACAGTCAGTGGGAGGTTTAGACTCAGAATGCAGACTAGTTTGAGGACTTCAAACCATAACTGCAGCATTAATATAAGCCTCACTAAACAACAATTTTAATTAATGACAGACACTTGCATAAAGAGTTACACAATCAATCAATCTGCAGGATATGAAGGCATGATTACACCCCACAGGAGGCTGTTTACAGCCTGATTAAACTGAACTTTGGAGATGTGGAGTCTATTTTAAAAATAGCGCATCTTAACTTGGAGTCACTCTGGATTACTCCTCCCCAAAAAATGACTTATTACAAGTTTATAAAAGCCGAGTTTGTTCTTTTGCAGGTTTACAGTTTTTTTATAGACTTATTTGCAGTCATTGATTTTTCATGAGAATAAAGATGTCTGGAGTAAAGACTGTATCAGATGAGTCAAATTCAACTTTATTTCATGTCTGCTTCGTTCTAAAGTCAAAATGTTAATAATAAAAATGCACTTCACACATCTTTTTTGATCTGTTTTCAAACTGTTGTTAAACTGTTCATTCATCAGACATTATATTTCCTTTCATTAAAAGAAAATCACAAAAGGTTAATAGTTTGTGTATATTATGGTGAATGCTTAGGTAAAGAAAATATGCTTGCTTTTGAATATGTCTCTGCATGTCCATGACGGCTGCCTCACATAACCTTCATCTATTTGCACTGAGCGCCCACATTCTCAGAAATTAATATTTCACTTCTACTATGAACAAAGTGAAGAGGGAGCTGTGATGAGAGGCAAAGCTCTCTATTTACCAGTTGGTGAACGTTCCCTCACCTCTGGTCACAAAATCTGGGTCGAGACCAAATGTGGAAACAGCTGGTCGAAATGGGTTTTCTCTGCAGAGTAGCTGAGTTCTCCTGAGATAGGGTGAGAGGTTAGGGTTATCAGTTGGGCTATGGGCATGTCCAACTGGGAGGAGAGGACATGCTGGAGAAACGTCTCTCTCTGGCCTAAGAACACCATGGAGTCCTCCCTGAAAAGCAGGAAGAGGCGACTGTGGAAAGAAATGTCTGAGTCCCGCAAACGGACACAGGAACAAGCGGCAAATAATAGATGGATGGACCCTGGTATGGCATTTGTATGGTGATGTTAGCTGAGAGGACTTTCTTGGGTCTCACAAACCTCCATAGAACCAGCTTTCTAGGAGAGAGCTCCCCCTCCTCTTCAATTAAATGTTTAATTTCCTGCAGTGAGGAAAACAATGACTGTCCAAATTCAAGGGATTCAGGAGGCCAAATCTGAAGGCCAATAATGTCAAAGGCTGCTCAAATTTTGAAGGCAGCCCACAAATGCATCCTCCCTTTTTTTCCGCGATATGAGGAACGATAAAAACCTGGCGGTATAAAAATAGATGTTTTTAATATTATTATTGTTTTTCAGAAATCAAACGAGCTCATACAGCAGGTGACTTTGTCCTTCAAATATTGCCTCTATCTTGGTAATAACAATATTGATAATGTTAATAAAAAATGTTTTGTTAATTTCAATCTTTTTTTTTTTTTTGCTTCTGTTTAGCATCATCACGATTGCCAGGCGACAGGACACACGCCAGGATAAGGATGGGTATAAAGCTGAAGGCTAGATTTTCCAAATTTACAGCCACTTTCTTCAGGTCTTCACAGTCAACAAAGGACCTGGCCCARGTGGACCAGGTAGGCCGGGTCCGTTGAAGGACACACCCTCTGATTTTGGACACAACCAACATCTTCTCAAAAACCAGATTTTACAAATGGCTTTATTCCTCAAGCAATATGTCTTTTAAATCTGTAATTTTTAATCAAAATAAGAGTAATTATTTGATTATGTGCAACTATCAGGGCATCGTTGTGGACCTGCACACCTAAGAGTAACCGAGGCAGAACTTTGTTGGTGTTCAATCTGATTGTTAGATAAGAAACTACAGATACTTGGGATACGAGGTATGCTGAAGCAGAAAACAGTTAAAGGGATCCCTGATTAGTTGTAACATTAGACTTTATATGATAAACATATATTTTAACTGTAAAATAAAGACTGTACAAATACTGCAGGATGTTCAGTTTTTTACCATTTTTTAACTAAAAGTTTAAAAATATATTACATGGACGGGGCCATTTTATTTACATGCAAAGCATTCTGGGTAAATGATGACATCAACTAGGTTATCGGTGCGAGGCTGCTAGCGAGCCATATCCACCCTGAAGGTTAATCTTGGACAATATCTGACGATTGGCTCTTTTAAATGAAACCAGAGAGCGTTGACAGAGAGGAGAAGGTAGAAATGACTCAGCCTGTAACTGAAAATATGGATGGAGGACAACAGAGCTGCTTCATGGAAGAACAACCTCAGCTTAGCCTGTTAGCTTTAGCATTAGCCCCGACACTATCACCATATACATGTATTAGCTCAGCGCTACACATTCTCCTCTCATCACTGAGGTCCTCCATCCACATGACAGAGAGGGGAACACAAAAAATGACTCAGCCTGCAACTGAAAATATGGATGGAGGACCTCAGTTTAGCTTGTTTGTCGCGCTAGCGCCGAGCTAATACTTATAAGGCAATATAGTGTGGGTGCTAGCGCAAAGGCTAATAGGCTAAGCTGAGGTTCTTCTTCCATGAAGCAGCTCTGTTGTCCATTTCTACCTTCTCTCTGTCAACGCTCTCTGGTTTCATTTAAAAGAGCCAATCGTCAGATATTGTCCAAGATTAACCCTCAGGGTGGATATAGCTCATTTAGCAGCCTCGCATCAATGACCTAGTCGATGTCATAATTTACCCAGAATGCTTTGCATGTAAATAAAATGGCTCCGTCCGTGTTAAAATATATTTTAAATAATTTACAAAACTAAACAGCCTACAGTATTTTTACAGTCTTTATTTTACAGTTAAAATAAATGTTTATCAAATAAAGTTTAATGTTACAACTAATCATGGATCCCTTTAAAATGTCTCGACACATGATATGCTTTTTGACACCAGATTGGAATTTTTCTTTCATGATTTTGGCTTTTCTTTGGTTTCTTTGCATTGCATTGGGACTTTTCTGTCTCCTGTCAGCTGTGAGCCTGTGTGGTTAAAGGTGGGAGTCAGTGAGCTCACAGAAACACGCTGGCACCCAAGTAAAATCTGTTGTCAGTTCAGAGACACGCTGTCGAACCCAACTTCCTCCAGGCATCCTCATCATCACACCCCGACTCAGTCACCACTTCTGTGTGATGAAACTACAGCCTCTGGAGAAAAAAATATTACCATAATAAGATAATGTGTTTATCAGAAAATGGTTTTTGTTCGTCTCAAATATGCAGACGATCAACCTTTAACTCACATGTGAAATTAAACACATGCTCACGGGGCTAATCCCCGAGGAAGAGAAATAAGGTGACACATGGGTTTGTTCTCGTCTAATTGAAACACAATGGTGAGTGTCAGCGTCAGCGGCGGGGCGTAAAGCAAGCTGACAGACAGGACATGTCAGGAGGCAGCCGTGGTGTCAGCTTGCTGAGCGATGCACAACATGGTCTCCTCCTGTGACTGACAACCGCCCCCAATTAACCTCCAACCCAAATACAGGCCGAAACCACACACACCTGCTCTGTCTCCCTCTGACACACACACACATGTTCGTTGATGAGTGTGTGACAGCTGTTGGACTTCCTTTTTTATTTATACAACTAAACTGACCTTTTTCTCCCCCCACAGGTCCAGAACGCAGCCCACCTTCAGCGAGGCCTGCAGCAAGGTGGAAAAGAAGAAATAATTCAACACACAACTCAAAACAGTATTACGTAAGCCCCTTAAGGCACATGTGTCAAACTCAAGGCCCGTGGGCCAGATCTGGCTCTTGTTAATATTTTATTTGGCCCCAAATGTAATTCTTTAAATGTGAAATAGTCCTAAAGTTTCTCTTTTTGTCTTCTCATGACAGCTGGCCAACRTTCAATCCGAGAAAAGAAAGTTTGAATTTTTRAGTAATCTTTCTCTTTTTGGTGCAAAAWGAGCAACAGAATCAGCTTTATCTTTATCTGTATTCTCCCCTTATTTTAAAGTTAAAGCATTGGACTTCTGAWGTGGGGTTTTCTTTTTTTTAACCTGATTTGCTGGATTGTGATCAAACGTATCTTTAAGATTTAATAAATGAAAAAAGTTGTGGATAGAGAGTGAGGCATATGCTAATGGTGAGTTTTTCTAAATGTATTGTTTGTTTTCTTCATCATTTAGGTTATGTATGCTARCTATAACATAATCTGGAAAAGGTCATTTGTAATTTCATAGATTAATCTCTTATTTATTCAAAACATGTTGYCAAGAATTGGCCCCTYGMTTTGGACCAAATTTTGAATTTTGTGCTATGGAGTGTGACCCTCCTTGCTCATTTGATCTGTGAGATAAACGCAGTAAGATGCAGAACATTGATTTTTAAAAAAAAATGCAGATCAGATAAATGCATGTGATGCAGGAGACTTGAACATAAATACATCTCTGAGTCCCTCTAGTGAAAGATTTGATTGCTTTCACCAGATTCTTCAATGCTGAAATATCTTCAAGAACAAGATAAGACGTCCTGTCACCTTCTGTTTCAGCATGTGGAGAATCACTAGGAGCAAAAGCTGCTGGATGGAGTTTAACTCCTTGCAAAATGATGCTAATGATCATTTAAACATTACAGTAGTTCTCCATTTATTAAAAACGTCCATGGACTGAGTACTGAGTGCAACCAGCAGGTGGCAGTCTACCCACATCTTGCTTTGTAAAGATTCAGCAACTTCTTGAWGTGGTTTTTTTTTCCTTTTGCAGGGTGATTTCTCTGATTGAAAACTCCAAAAGTGCAAGCTGACAGTTTGAGTTTAACTATAAAGTGATTACCAGTGATGGCAGATTTAGTACAGAGTGCCAAATTCAAAACTGGGAAKAGCTGCAATCAAAAGGACGGGACAGCTTCAACACCTCAACAGCTCCTTTCAGTTCTTTGGAGCAGCTGACGATGCAGCCAAAAACATGAACATCCAGCTAAGTGAAGCAACTATAAAAGCCCCTTAAACATGCATAATATTGAGTGGTAAACAGAGGCATCAGGTACAATATTTATTGTTCAGAAGTCTATTCACAGAACCCAAGTTCAAAAGATGGACCAATACTTTTAGGG